AAGTGTGTGTCTTGGCGGTGTGTCGGAGAGGGTGAGCACAAAAGAAATTAGAGAGAGAGAGAGAGAGAGAGAGAGAGAGAGAGAGAGAGAGGGAGAGGAGCATGTGGGTAAGAGAGCGAGTTGGCAATTGTACTAAGATGGGGCATGTATAGAGAGTAAAAAAGAGACGGAGAGAGGACGACAGAGAGGAGGAACCAAGAGAGAGGGGGAGCGAGAGAGAAGGGGGCGAGTTGGGACTAAGTGCGACCAGAATATGTTTACATAAGAATGCAGTTGCATAAGAATGCATGTCTACATAAGAATGCAGTTTTTTGTAAATTGCATTTTTGAGAGCGCTGCTATCAAAATGGTATGTCGATAACTATACTGATACACCCGCGTGTAGAAACACACACAGGTTCTATTAGATTCAAAAGTTTCACAAGATTCTTCCTATGACAAATATTGCCGAGTCAACTTCGTTCCGCTTTGCAGCTGAAATTCACTGCTCGCGTTCATAATAGCGCTCCTAAACGCCTATGATGCGCACAGCACATACAACAATATTTGTCATAGGAAAAATCTTCCTATGACAAATAGTGTCATAGGAGAGCGTATATGCGTATGTCTTATTTGTCATAGATGCTAGCAGAACAGGCTGACAGGTTGTTCTCGACATAGTCCCTTAGAGAATGTGGTGAAGGAATAATGATATTACGTTATTACACTATTTCAATTACACACAGTGTGTTTGTGCTGTTATACGCGCATATCTTACGCGATGCCCTGTTATTTTGTTAAATCTGATTATACATCCGATGCTATTTGTTATCATATTGTTATCATATTATATTGAATTTGTTACGGGCTTTACCTTTTGAATCTATCCTCTAATGTGTCCAAAATGCGTTTTTAATGCGCTTTTATCAATTGCAATTTTGATGTCGGATTTACCAGGTTCTATGTATACGTGAATAATTACACAATAAACGAATATTTAATTGTAATTGTTAGTAATGCTTTTGTTATTGATCTCATTCCGTCATTACTTGCAATCTACAATTATTAGATTATTAGAATAAAATAATTTCACAGATATCAGATACACAATAATAAAACAGTTCATATTGTATTCATTTAACATATCTCTTTTTCACGTATTAAATCAAATTGAAAGCCAATTAAAAATTAATAATCTCTCTAGTATTTGCTGGTATCTAAATCCGAACGTATCTTTCTAAACGCGGTTATATTTCAGAATATATACAGCTGTAGAAATCCTTACGAATACGCGCGTACACTAGATCAAACAGAACCGGACCGTTTCGTCCATAAATTTCAAATATTCTCCCCCAGTACCTACTATCTAATATCTAATATCACACGCCCTTTGATCCATGCATGGCTATACACATCCAGAAGGGCACTTCTGACCTAGTAATTAACAAACTTTCACTCTCGACATATATATATATATATATAATAAGTATATATATATATATGTATATCTATATGTATATATATATGTATATCTATATATATCACTCTATTATAATATACCAGGGCCGCAGCTGTAACCGGCAAGGGTGGGGGTGGGGGGGGTCCAGGGAAGTGGGGCCAGAGTTGTTACCTCCTATCTCCGAGCTCCGACCTATGGTCAATGGTCAATGGCGAACTTCTCACGGTCACCTGCTCAACAAAATCGGTGCAAATTCGTGCCCATTTCCCTTTCCTCATTCAGACAAAATGACTCACGGCCCAGTATATGTATCTACATCGATATCTGTATCTGTATCTATGTTTCAAATATATTTTTCATGTATCCACTTCAAATAAGTCAATATCATATCACGCAAGCACCACACACCGGCGCCAGAAAACAACACAGTCCTAGCGCTACACAACGACGGCTACATACCCGGCGTGCAGCAATGCCACACGTGTGCGTATTAACGGCTTCTTCCGTCTCCCGCTCTCCTCTCTCTCTCTCTCTCTTCTTCTCTCTCTCTCTCTCTCTCTCTCTCTTTCTCTCTCTCTCGCTCATTCTTTCTTTCTCTCTTCTTCTCTCTCTTCCTCTTCTACGCACACTGGTTCCGGCTAAACGTGACGTCATCCATGTCGAGGTTTCCGCCCTGCTTCGGTATTCTGACCTTGATGATGACCTACGAGACGGAAATGACGTCAACGGGGAATAGCATCGCCATGGTACTAGAGCGGTCATTTACACAAAGCTCTATACATTTTATTATATCAGTACGACGAAGTAATAATAGTAGCAATAATAATAATAATAATAATAATAATAATAATAATAATAATAATAGCAATAGCAATAGCAATAGCAATAGCAATAGCAATAGCAATAGCAATAACAATAACAATAACAATAACAATAACAATGCCAATAACAATAACAATAACAATAACAATAACAATAACAATAACAATAACAATAACAATAACAATAACAATAATAATTAACAACGTTGCCATGACAACAACGCAGCATGCACGACGCGTGGCGGACGCTCACCCGGTAGCGTTCGGCGATGTTGATCCACGCTTTGAACTTCTTCCACGTCGTACCGCGACCCGTCGACGTCCTTCCGGCCTGCCGCGACGTCTTCTCCGTCTCCAGCTCGACGGTGATGTAGACCTTCTTGCGCGTGTTCGAGCGGTACTTGAAGGAGAAACAGACGCGCTCGCCGCCGCTCTGCATCCACGGAGAGAAGAGATGCACGGTGGTTGCCATGGGAACGGCGGCAGTGTCCGGCGTGAGCTGCATGTACGTGTTTCCGTCTGCGATGGTCGCGGTGGAGGAGGATACCGAGGGAATAGAGAAACTGCGTTGTAGTAGAGCTTTCCAGATAAATAAAACGTTCCCCCTCATATACGTCATAGTACAAATTATGTACAAGTATGTCATAGTAGAAACTATACAAATATGTTATATATTAATTAATTATGTTATAGTAGCGATTATAACTATGACACATTATATACTAAATGTGTTAATATGTAATATATTATATATTATAATATATATATATATATAATGTATTATAGTTAATTTCCGTATTATAGGGAAGGTTTCACTGTACAACTGACACTAAACGAAAAATGCTACAAGTGTTCTTTCTAGACAGGTGTTCGCTGTATAGAGGTGACCGGCTAAGACAGGTTGAACGACAGAAGGTTTAGGATATTTTACCCGGTAGGATTATATATGATGTGATTAGTTCCCCCGGTTCGACCTCCTTTGTCCAAGCACAGGAATCGCCATCGTTGAAGTCACAGTCACCGTCGACAATGGGGGCTGCAAAGCAAGAAGGTCGAGTGAACAAAAAATCGAAAAACAAAACAAAAATAAGAATAAAATGAATGTATAAATAAAGAAGAACATAACAATAAAAAAATCAAACGCTTCTACACAGGCGCTCTTTGAGACGGTTGTTAGGAAAACGCGGATCATTCCAGCGTGTTTTTTTTCATACGCGTGGTTTATTCGGTGGGGGGGGGGGTTATAAACGGGCTGCTTTGAGAAAGTCCTGGTTTTAAAACACAAAGAGCCGTGTAATTGTAATAAACACAATTAGTATTTTTACATTAATCTTAACTTCAACCTTTTATATAACTCCGGATCCTCTATACCATGCGTTTATATGCAAAATTAGGTACAACATTACCTATACATCTAACAGTGTAGCCCCTTCGCTTCAGCCACAGCGGGAGTAAATTATAGGCTACACTGGCAATGGCTAAACTTTACCATATTTTTGTCAACGTTCTATGAGAAAAAGTTAATGTTAAGACTTGTTAAAACATAGTTTTGTTTCCGACAACGGGCCACTGGACCTTTTCGAGGTTTACTCGTACTCGAGAAAACCTCGGGTGATTTCTTCACGCAATGACGCGTAACCTAGGTCATAGTATGCTCGCCGTGACGCTGCGATGACGTCACGAACGAGAGCAAGCAGGCAGCCTTTGCGACGTGACTCATCAATTAAGTGTCCAGCGACGAGAACAAATTGTCGTCAAGAACGAGAGCAGGCAGGCGACGAGACTGCTCAAGTAAGTGTCGAGCGATGAGAACAATTGGTCGTTGTCACCACGGTGAGTGTGTCGCTGGCGCACGACCCTCAAGTCACAGGCGACACAAGAAAACAACGCAACTCATCATGCGCGCGTGTGTGCACGAATGACCCGGACATGTCAGGGGTTAATAATGACAAATGTTTGTCATCGATGTATTGCTCGCGAACAAACATTAAACAAACTAAAAAACTATCGCGAGCGGGAACCGACAAACGAAAATGACATCTAGCAATTAGTCATACTTAACAGTTAAGTTAAAGTTAAGCCACTTAAGATTGTACAGGAGGGTGATGGCACGCGAAACCTGTCATTAATCAAGCGTAAGTAACAAAAACCGACAGGGAAGTGGGTGTCGCCAGAGGGCAGGGCAGTAATGGAAGCTATACGTGGACGTACGTGGTCGTGGGTCACAGATAAATGTAAGAAATACCTTGAAAAAATTCTCTCTCATTCTCTGCCCCTCTCTCCTCCCCTTCTCTCTCTCCTTTCTCGCTCTTTCACTTCATCTCCGCCGTTCTCTCATTCTCGCTCTGTCTTTATCGCTATCTCTTACTCTCTCAGACTCCCTCCCCTCCACACACACACACACACACACACACACACACACACACACACACACACACACACACACACACACACACACACACACACACACACACACACACACACACACACACACACACACACACA